AGTGAAAGAATAGGGAAACATATCACAAAAAGTTTTATTTTTTTAATTAGCATTTTTTATTTTATTCTTGAATCTCTTCTTTTAGGATAAACTTTATCTCAAGTCAAATAGCATTTCCAAATTAAGCACCTTTTTTAAAAAAAAATACCATGTAGGCAGTGAGAATCTTACCACTGCTCATTTCCCTTTTCCTTCATGCAACGGGAAGGTAAACCGATTCGTGTGTCATCTCTCATATGCATTTCATGTACTGGTATACCACCTTTATGCCAGATTCTCTCAGAGAAAAGTCTGCTATAAACATGGCTAATCCAGGGGCACCAGGGTGGCTCAGTCATTTGAGCTTCTGCCTTTAGCACAGGTCATGATCCCAGGGTCCTGGGCTCGAGTTCCACATGGGGCTCCCTGATAAGTGGATAATCTGCTTCTCCCTCTGCCTCTGCCTGTTCCCCCTGCTTATGCGCTCTCTCTCTCTCTCTCTCTGATAAATAAATAAATAAATCTTTAAATAAATAAATAAAGATGGCTAATCCATACAACATGGGAGGTATCACCCTCTGTGAAAAGACTTTCAGGCATCAACAACAGACCTTTCTAAATTACCATCAAAATCACACCTAGTAGGGAGCTTTTAGGGGCCAGAAAAACAGTGCTGTGCTGCTCTTCTTCTCAATCACCACCACTCCCTGGAGTGTTGGGAAAGAATTCCTTTGTGTTTCCCTCCTTCACATTAAGGCTCAAGGCCCAGGGAGTGAATTCCTCAGGGGTGACCATTCATCAGCTCTTCCAGTCTCCCATGAGAGCAGAAATCATGTCAATCTCTTTTCCTTTGGGGATAACGTGGGACTCTGAAAAAATAAAGCTCCTGCACACAGGAGCAAAGGTGGGTGAGCAAGGAGCTCAGGCACATCTACCTGAGTGAGTCATTGTCTTCATATCCTTCTCAGAATATGTGTTCACTGTAACTCATCAAGCGAAGAGGAGACAGTCAACCTCTCACCAACAGGTAGAAAACACGTCAGAGCACAGGTCAGCACTGGAACACAGAGAGAGAGAGATGACCTCTTAGGAGAGGAGCATGACCCTGTCCCTGCTCCTCTCAGCATGGCTTTGCCTGGCTTCAGGTCCATGCAGTTCCAAAATTTCAAGAGGAGACATGGACTGTGGGTCTGGCTTTTAGGTACCTCATAAGGAGTACAAACTGAGAAAAGGCTAGAATTGGAAAGTTACACAGAGTTTGAATTCTTCACCCCATTCATTTCAGAGATAAGTAAGTTGCATCTAATGTAGCAATTCATCAGCTCAAACACTACTTAGTGGAAAAAATGGGACAACAACCAGGATTCCAGTTTTTTTACTCCAGAATTCTTTTCATAGAAACATGCAAAAGCAGGTGATGCATAGAAATCTAAAATATCTTTGTCCTATATTTGCTTCTATAAGACAATACTTTTGTTGGCCTTTTTTTTTTTTAAATATTAGAGTTTAACAAGTTTGGAATATACTTATTTATTCACTATTCTACTATTTCTTCAAGAGTCAGGTCGGTTGACGTTTAGCTACACGAAACTAAAAATCTACATATAAAGATTTTCTTTTAACTCTGATTTTGAATTTGATAGCCTCATCTCTACTTGTTTTGTCATTTAATAGGAGTGCTGTGGAATTAAAATCACACCTTCACTAAAGCCTAAAGCAGTCCATGATACATCACATGTATGGAATAAGCACAGGAACTTTATTTTCTAAACGCTGTTGAGCACACAATCATGTACTGAGTTAAGTCTTACACAATTACAGTTGCACTGACACAACTGCCAAATGAATTAAGCATTTAGCACATGACAATCACTGAATTTACTACCAGATGATTGATGGATTATTGATTAACTGGTTGATTGATGATAGACAGATGATAGAATATACATACATACTCTAACCAACTTTTTTGAAGAAAGTTACTAAGTAAGACATTAATCTCATCCATAGGTGAAAAGCTGAGACTCTAAGTAGATGCGTAGTGTTGCTAGAATTCAAAAGTAGTAAGTGGCAAAGCCTGAATTTGTCTGTCCACTATAAGCGAGAAGGGGCAGGGTGCTTTCTGACTGGTGAAACCCCTGCTCATACACGTCCTCTTTAAACTGGAACTTGAATTTATAAGGAAGGAAAGAATGACTTTCTGATCCCATTTTCCAATTGACTGAAATGATTTAGTAGACACATGCTCCCCTGCAGATCAGCCCTGAGCCCCGTGCTGCACCCTAACCAGGAGTCTCTTACTCCTAAAACGGCTGCAGCCTGGCATCCCCTGCACTTTCAAGCTGGATGTTTGGGTCTGTCTCCTCCTCTATAAAATTGAGGTTAGACAGAATGAGTCCTCCCAATTGCCATAATAGCAATATTTTCCCTTTTTGCTGAAGGGAAAGAACAAGCTAAGAACTGGGAAGACTGAGGTAGACCCCTTATATCCTTCTCATGATGGGTTACTCCCCTATTTCTAGGTTAAGCAGTGAGAGAAAAAATGAACACAGTGCTGTGTATGAAATCGGTAGTCCCAGACCCAATTGCCAGTTCTGCTCCCAACTCACTGTGTGATTTCACAGGTCTCCTCATTAATATAACCTGTGAAGTGACATACCCATTCACGTAAGTGACAACGGGGGGAACTGAAGTAGGGACAAGTACTTTGTTGCTGTTTTTGTTTTGTTTTGTTTTGTTTTCACAGCTTTGCTGAGCTGTAGCTGAAATATACTCTTCCTCCCACACACACCTCCGCACAGGCAATCACTGATTGGCCGTCACTATCGATTAGCTTGCAGTTTCTAGATTTTTAGAAATGGGATAACATGAGGTCTACTCTCTTATCTAGCTCTCTTCTCTCAACCTAGTTATTTGGAGATTCGTCCATCATACTGCATGTATCAATCGTTTTTTTTGTTTGTTTAATTGTTCAGTAGTAGTCTATTTTATGGACATACTAAAATTTGTTTATCTTATTACATATGGATGGGCCTTTGGGTTGTTCCCAGGTTTGGTGTTTTGTGGGGGAACGGGCTGGTTCATACAGCAGATATGTGTGTATTTAGACTATGTACTCCCACGATGTTTTCCAAAGTGGTTGTAGTATTTTATACTCCTAGCAACAGGGATGCAATTTCCAGTTCCTCCACTCCCAGGTCAACACTTGGTATGGTTCATCTTTTTAAATTTTAACCATTCTCATGAATTTGTAGTAATATCCCACTGTGGTTTTAATTCAGGTGTCCCTAATACAAAAGATTTGAGCATTTTTCATGCATTTATTTGCTATCCATATATCTTCTTAGGTGAAGCGTCTGTCCAAGTCTGGCCCATTCCTTTTGGGTTGTTTGTTTTCTCATTAATGAGTTTTAAAGTTCCTTCCATAGTATGGGTACAAATTCATTATAAGAAATGCACTTTTCAGATAATTTCTCCAAGATTTCTCTTTTTATTCTCTTTCCTAATTGACCTGATGTATGAAATGATGCATACATCCACAATATATTAAGAATGAGTCTGAAAGTATTTTATAAACTATATACACTCTCAGGCAAATATATGGTATTGATTATCCACTATTAGACCCCTTCTTCATTGCAGTTGATTATATTCTATGCAGAAACTGAAAGATGGGAGCACTACTTTCAACCATGCTAGGATTTAAGATAGTCTGTTATAAATGTCCACACCCCTCTGAAAGACACATTATACCATTCTGCTTTCCTGTCTTTCTTAAGCAGTAAACCAGATAGAGGAGATACAGCTGACTTCTCCCTCAGATTTAATAGAGAATGCTACTTATTTCTAAAGTACTGCATGTTCTGGCCTGATTTGGTTTGGTGCTGTGTGGTTTTGCCCACTTTCTTGTTATAACTCTTCAGTGAACTGGATATTCATCCAACCACAAAGGAAAAAGCTAATATATGCTGCTGTCTGACCACAGAGTTGGAAAATGTTTTCTCTATCCCCTCTGAGTGAGGAATCCTGAATCTTAACTCTGAACTAAGCTATGGAACAACCTATTGGCTAAGCCATAGAATTGACCAAAGACACAGCTGTTTTTTCATCCTGATTATGGCCCACACCAAATCCCTGGGTGCTTCTAAGTATTAAGGAAATGAAAGGACTAATTCTGTGTCCATGCCTGATAGGTAAGACAGGAAGACAAAAGGGGGTGCAAAAATAAAGAGGTATAAACTTCATTAAACCACATATACACAGAAGACAATAAAGTGAAGTGAACCCGAGAGCTCAGACAGACCCAGCTCTGCTGCTTACTGGCTCCTGACATTGTTGACATTACTTAATGTCTAGCCTTATTCTTTTCAGGTATAATATAGAGACAAGGGTGGTACCTATTTCACGGAGTTGTGAGGGTGAAATTATGTAACATGTAGAAGGACTCAAAGGTCTGGCAAAGAGTTAACACTCAATAAATCCTGTTTTTTCTTTTTTTAATTATTATTACCCACTACCTTTTCCAATATTGCTCAGCTTTTGCTCCAAGTATTTTACTTTCTCCATGTGTGTATATGTTTGTGTGCATATGTGTGTGTGTCATATGCTATAATTTGAGATTTGAGGGATTTTCAGTTTTCATTTTTGTGCCTACCTGCAAAGAGAATTATTGTTTATTCATGATTTGTGTCCATATTTGCTTTGTTTTAGAAAGAAGGAAGGGATGCTCAAAACAGTCCTTTACTAATTAATAAGGCAGATAATTGCACAGATAACATCAAACACTTGGTAGCATGTGATAAATTGCCTCAGAGAATCAAGGTCTATGGAGAAGCAGAATTTGCCATCCCCATAATCCTAACATCTTCTATTTTGACTGAGCACCTAGAAAGGACACCTATCCATCACTTTCACTAAAGTCATTTGAGTTACCCTATGGGTCACAGAATCTGATTTCTGGGAAGATTTTTAAAAATCACTTCAGACAATAAATCAAACCCAGGCACACATAAATTGAAAAGATGGATAAAGAAAACCACTCAGTGGTGATGGAGTTCATCTTTATGGGCATCACTCAAGACTCCCAGCTACAGACCATCTTCTTCGTGGTCTTCCTCTTGGTCTACCTGATCAATGTAGTAGGGAACATTGGTATGATTATCCTGATCATAACAGACTCTCAGCTTCACACACCCATGTACTTCTTCCTCTGCAACCTCTCTTTTGTTGACCTGGGCTACTCCTCAGCCATTGCCCCCAGGATGCTGGCTGACTTCTTAACAGAGCACAAAGTCATCTCCTTCTCTAGCTGTGCCACCCAGTTTGCTTTCTTTGTAGGTTTTGTGGATGCTGAGTGTTACGTCCTGGCTGCCATGGCCTATGACCGTTTCGTGGCCATCTGCCGACCCCTCCACTATAGCACGCTCATGTCCAAGCGAGTCTGCTTGGCTCTCATGCTGGGCTCTTACCTGGCTGGCCTGGTGAGTTTAGTGGCCCACACTTCCCTCACCTTCAGTTTGAGTTACTGTGGTTCCAATATTATCAACCACTTCTTCTGTGAAATCCCACCTCTCTTAGCCCTCTCTTGCTCAGACACCTACATCAGCGAGATCTTGCTGTTCAGCCTGTGTGGCTTCATTGAATTCAGCACCATCCTCATCATCTTCATCTCCTATGCTTTCATCCTCATCACCATCATCAGAATGCGCTCCACTGAAGGCCGCCTCAAGGCTTTCTCCACCTGTGGGTCTCACCTTACAGGTGTCACCCTTTTTTATGGCACAGTCATGTTTATGTACCTGAGGCCAACATCCAGCTACTCCCTGGACCAAGACAAGTGGGCCTCTGTGTTCTACACTATTATCATCCCCATGCTGAATCCCTTGATCTACAGTTTACGGAACAAGGATGTGAAAGCTGCTTTCAAAAAACTAATTGGAAAAAAATGTCAAGAGTAACAAAATATGAAAATTTCTTATGTAAAAATGGTAGTGGTCAAAGGACAGTGATAGGAGATAGAAAATGCAGATAGCTTTCTAATGAACACAACTCAGCTACCATCTACTTGCAGTGTTGATCTTAAATTCTATAGGGTTTTCTATAACCCTTAACAGTCTGATATGAAGGAAATATAAATTAATATTTTTGAAAAGCATGCTAAGCTAGATGCATTTGTATTTTACATGACTTTGGCTCACCTATTGCTTAGAAACTGAGACAAAACTTGAAAGGGGAAATAAATGGCCACTCTAAATTATAGTTTTTCAGTCATGAGGTATGACAGATCCAAATGTTGAGAGTTTCTCTACTCTAAAAACAAGTCAGAGAAAATATAGTTAAATATGTAGGGAATGGAACTTGTATGAGAGATGACCTAACTCAGCCTGGGAGCTGAGCTATATGTATTCCTATATTCAACAAAAACTTCTAAGTGCTAAATATGGGCCAGGTTCTGGAGGATACAATCGGAAGACATGCATTTGCCAATGAGGAGTTCGTTGTGCTTCCAGTTACTGTATTATCTGAAACTGCTGCCACCAATGACCAAATCATGAGCTATGCAAACCCCAAGAATAAGAGCTACAAACTGAGGCTCTGCTGTTTATTGCGTGTCCTCAGTTTTCCCTCTGTCTAGCACTTGGTTTCACCTAATAATGACTGGATCTCCTTGGTCTCCCCTGCCTAATATCCAAAAGAGATGGGCATCTGGGTTTTGTTAACTTTACATATTGACATCATTTTAACCTTCAGGGAAGTCCAGACACTCTGGGATCCTAAGAAAGATACAGTTTGGATCAATCCCTGAAGCCAATTTTAGTTGAATTGTAATGTCTGTAACATTAGTAGGATTAGTGCCCTACTCTTCACATCCTAAATCCCTCATGCCTCACCACCCCCTCTTCTATACTACCTTTTATAAGATTTTATTTAGTTATTAAAGAGAGAGAGAGAGCACAAGCGGAGGACTGACTGAGAGAGAGGGAGAAGCAGACTCCCCACTGAGCAGGGAACCTGACACAGGGCTGGATCCCAGAACCCTGAGATCATGACCTGCGCTGAAGGCAGATGCTTAACCGACTGAACCACCCAGGTGCCCCCTCTCCCTCTCTTCTAATATTAGTTAAACCCTAGCCTTTACCTAGGGCACCAGGACTCTTCATGCTTTCCACCATTATCTCCAGGCCCTTATCCAATCATAGTTTCCCTGAGGTATCAATTAACCCTGAGGTATCAATGATTGACAATCGAGGAGACAGACTCCTCTCTGCATGTTCTCAAGGCTACAAATCTTGATTTTGAAAACTTCAGGCTCTCTGCTTAGCAGGGAGCCTGCTTCCTTCTCTCTCTCTCTCTGCCTGCCTCTCTGCCTACTTGTGATCTCTGTCTGTCAAATAAATAAATAAAATCTTTTTTAAAAAATAAATAAATAATTAAAAATTTTAAAAAGGGGCACCTGGGTGGCTCAGTGGGTTAAAACCTCTGCCTTCAGCTCAGGTCATGATCCCAGGGTCCTGGGATCGAGCCCCACATCGGACTCTCTGCTTAGCAGGGAGCCTGCTTCCTCCTCTCTCTCTCTGCCTGCCTCTCTGCCTATTTGTGATCTCTATCTGTCAAATAAATAAATAAAATCTTTAAAAAACAAGAGTGTCAGGGATCAGCAGCAGGTAAAGTGGGCAGACTGAGATGAAGGAAAGCTAAATTTTTCTTAGATATGCTAAAATTTCATCACACCATCAGTTACAAATACTTCCAAGCAATAATGTTCCTATCTGCCCCCTTCTCCCAGTGCAATATAGTCAAATGTCAAGGTAACACAAGAATTATCCTAAAATGTATAGTGTCCCCATTCATTGTGAAAGGTACAAAAGAGTTTTAGGGATAAAAGACCCAGGCTTTGTAATAAGTATCATTATACATAAGATGAAATTTACCTAGTGCAAAATTACACAGCCCTATCATGAATTTCTAAAAACATATTTCCAGTGTCACATTATGAAGAAAGTAGAGCAACTAATGGACAGATGTAGAGCTGACAGTCCAGAAATAGTTCAGAGATTCAGGCTTTGGTGTTTTGTTTTTTTTTAATAATCTAATGTGCAAATCTACACGATGTGTGAAAAATTAAAAAATAGAGCTTTCGTATCTCATTAACTACATTAGCGACTATAATGTAAACCAAGTATACATTATAATTGAAAGAGTAGTTGATTTAGAATCAGGAAGACCTTTGTATCTCATTTCTGCATCTTTACTCAATGACCGTCCTGCTGGAGGACTTCTTTTTTTCTTAATCAATTACTGTATCCAAAGTTAATGATAAAATCTAAAAACTGACCCTTGGCCTACACTTGCCACTCTGACTAATAATGGCAAGTATGCAGGCTTTAGACTATTTAGAAAGAAGCCCTCATGTAGGTTGTGCTATTTTCTTGCCCTGTGCCCATGGGCAAGTTACTGAATCTCTATCAGACTAAGTTTCTTCATCTATTAAATGAGAAGAATAATGCTTACTTTCTAGCATTTTTAAAAAGATGTGATGTCATCTCTGTAAAGAATCTGTCACATAAAAGAAAATAAACATTAGTTGTTTCTATTTTTCCTTCACTTATATCTTAAATATTTATGATTCTGCTGTCGATGTGATGCAATATTGTGAGGTAACTCATTTTTCCCAAGTAATTGGTAATGGAGGTCTGCATATCAAATTTATAATGGCAAGAAAAAGATGGATAGAAGTTGGGTCACCTTAGTCTTCATTCCCACTCCCATCGATAATTAGATCAGATAAATCCCCTAATGGCTCTGAGTGTCTTCATCAAAAAAGTAAGCACTAGAATTTATACCTTATCAATCCTATTAGTTTGCCCAAATAAGTGAATATTATTACTCTAGAATAGACTGCAAATATCACATTTTCCTTTTTTTAAATTTTATTTATTTATTTGAGAGAGAGGAAAAAAATATATGATGGGGAGGGGCAAAGGGAGAGAGACAGAAGCAGACTCTCTGCTGAGCAGGAAGCCTGATGTGGGGCTTAATCCCAGAACCCAGAGATCATGACCTAAACAGAATGCAGATGTTTAACCAACTGAGCCACCCAGGTGTCCCAAAAGTTACATCTTCTATAACTAAAAAAACTTCCTACTCATTCTCCTGGGAGCTTTGAAAAGCAAAAATTGATGCAAAAGTGTATTAAGAGGGGAGATATCAGAATGAGATAAAGTGAAACTAAATTCTTTCTTTTCTGGGGCACCTCCCAGAGAGGGCTTCTCCCCTTCCTGCTTCCCCTGCTTGTGTTCCCTTTCTTGGTGTCTCTCTCTGTCAAATAAATAAATAAAATCTTTTAAAAAATAAAAAATAATAACAATAAATTCTTCTCCCGGGTGCCTGGGTGGCTCAGTGGGTTAAGCCTCTGCCTTCGGCTCAGGTCATGATCCCAGAGTCCTGGGATTGAGCCCCACATCAGGCTCTCTGCTCTGCAGGGAATCTGCTTCCCCCTCTCTCTCTGCCTACCTCTCTGTCTACTTGTGATCTCTCTCTGTCAAATAAATAAATGAAATCTTTAAAAAATAAATAAATAAATAAATAAATTCTTCTCCCTCCACTTTCAAGCTATGTGACCTCAGCTGAGATTTTTTTAAACAATCTGTGCTTAAGATATATATATATATATATGTAATATATATATATATATATATATATCCTGGTTTCATGGATTTGATATCCATAGGGAGATAAAATAAATGCAAATGTCTTGTACTACTGGGGAAAAAACTGCCAAAAGAGAATTGCAGACAATGGGCTGTGGAGAATCACAGGCAACATTCCCTCTTGGGAGATCAGGGAATTTCTATGAAGAAGGGAGATTTTGAGTTATTTTGGAAGCAAAGCCTAGAAATTAAAGAAGGAAGCAACTGGCAGAAGGAAAAAACATAATGAACAAAGGCAAAGAGATTGGAAACCAGGGGACATTTCCCTGGGCCATTTGCCTGGGTGTCCGTGGAAGGATTTGGTGGTGAAGCCGGAACGTAGGTCAAGATCAGACACTAATTTAGGAATGGGAATTCATTGCTTGGAGAGTAGGGAGTTTATCACTTGTGGATTCAAGAGAAGGTTCCTCTTCATTCCTGAAATTCTGTCCCTTGTTCATCCCGAGAGCAACCTTTGGGGAAACCAGTATAACGACATGGACTTTAGGTTGATAAATTCAAGTAGCTCTGACAACCTCAGGCAGGTTTACTGACATAAGATGGTATACTCTTCTTAATGGAGCTTGGATAAATCTCATATTTAGCTTTCTATCTCCTAGGGGAGGAACCCAAAATGAAGTCCCTGCCTTCATTCTCTGCCTTAGCAAGAATGCCTGGAATAACTAGGGTCTGAGATACCTTATCTAGCCCATAGTTATCCCTCTTCCTTAACTCAGGAGCTATAACATTGCCAGAGTCCTTTGTTTGGCATTCCAGGCCCTCTCCCTTAAATCACCTCTCTGGAATGATTTCTTCCTGTTCTCTTTGTCCAAGAGATTCTCCTGCAAAACTATTTCTTGAGTGGCACTCCCATTTTTCTCCCTCTATATCCTTCTAAATGCCCTCTCTTCTCCACTCTGTGCTTCCTTAATAGTCCCAGCTCCACATCTCAGACCATCCAAATTTCTCTCTTCTTTCAAGGACCAACTCAAATACCACTCCTTGAAATGCTCTCTCTCTGAGCTACTGGACTGCTAATAAGCCCCACTCTTCAGAAGCTTATGAAAAGAAAGGTGTGAGATGAACTATTTGACTGCTCCTCACAGCTACCTGCACTGCAAAAACGTGCAGCCAGTTGAGGGCTCTGGGAGTTGCTGTATTGAGATCTGTGTGTTTAACTCTGATCAGGTGTTAATGAGAATAGGACACTAGAGGAGAATTCCATGATAAAATCCACACTATGAATGGCATCCACACATGACATCTGA